TGTAATCATTCTGAGATAATTGATATTCATGAAGCAAGTCGAGAATATGTGTGGTTGAGGTCTATAATACATCTTATTCGAGACAAATGTGGTTTGAAGTATGACAAACTACCCACAATTTTGTATGAAGACAATGCATCATGCATACCCCATGTGATGACCCAAAAGGTCATCACTTATTTTAAAAGTTAATTCTGCATTTCGAAACCTTAAAAATTTCTTTCAGCATCACCTTGATTTGCGTGCATAGTCCGGGCGCGTAGCCAGAAAGCCATTTTGTGAAAATCTGTGAAAAATGATGAATTTTGCCTTTAAAATGAATTTAAGTTGACTTCAGTCAACATTTTGGGTAAACAGACTCGGACCCATGATTTGACAGTCCCGGAAGGTCCGTAGGAAAATATGGGACTTGGGTGTATGCCCGGAATCGAATTCCGAGGTCCCAAGCCCGAGAAATAAATTTTTGAAAGAAATTATTTTGTTGAATTAATTATGAGTTTTTGAAAGTGAAAAGTGTTTGAAACCATTGGTATCGGGCCCGTATTTTGGTTCCAGAGCCTGGTATAGGTCTTATATCTGATTTGAGTCGAGCCTGTGAAAATTGGTAAGAAACGGATTTGAAATTACGTGAATCGGACCTTATTTGAGAAATTTGGCAAATTTGAAGTTCTTAAAAAATTTCATGATTTTAATGCTAAATTCATAGTTGTTGATATTATTTTAGTGATTTGAATGCACGAGCGAGTCCGTATGATGTTTTTAGGTTGGTGTGCATATTTGGTTTGGAGCCCCGAGGGCTCGGGTGAGTTTTGGATAGGTCACATGGTGGATTTTGGACTTGGAGAATTGCAGGTTTTCAGCTGTTTCAGTGCAGGCCTGCAGGCTTCGCATGGCTCGCAAATGCGAGTTTGCAAATGTGAAATGTAGCTCAGGCCAGCTTACCTCGCAAATGCGAGGGATTGATCGCAAATGCGATCCCCTAGTTTTTAGCCAGACATCGCAAATGCGACACATTGTTCGCAATTCCCACCTCACAAATGCGAACTTAGCAGTGGGTTCGCAATTGCGAACCCTGCTCACAATTGTGACATCTGCAACCTGCAATTTTATAACTTAACCGAAAATCTTTCATTTTTCACACTCTTTCAAAACCAAAACACTCTTGGGCGATTTTTCAAAGACAACTCTTCTTCCAAATCGATTGTAAGTCAATTTTAACTCGTTTTCTTCAATCATTAACATCTTTTCACATGATTTCAACTCAAAATCAATGATTTTCATGGAGGAAATTGGGTGTTTTGGGTAGAACCTAGGTTTTTCAAAAATTGGGGATTTGGACCTCGATTTGAAGTCCGATTTCAAAATAAATTATATATTTGGGTTCGTGGGGGAATGGGTAATCGGGTTTTGGTTCGAACCTCGGGTTTTGACCATGTGGGCCTGGGGGCAATTTTTGGCTTTTTGGGTAAAACTTTGGAAAATTTATTTTTTCTGCATTGGAATTGATTTATTTAGCGTTTATTGATGTAATTGAGTAACTTGTGGCTAGATACAAGCGAATTGGTGGTGGAATCAAGAGGTAAAGCGATAGTAGAGACTTGAATTGTGTTCATGACATCGAGGTAAGTGTTTGCTCTAACCTTAGCTTGAGGGATTAGGAGTCGAGTCCTATTTGCTATGTGGTATTTGTCGAGTACGACATATAGGCATTGTGATGAGTACTATACGTTGGTGTCAATTATGCATGTGAGTCTTATACTGTGTTTATTATGGCTTCGTTATATTATTCATGCCTTGATGATGATTTCTATTGTTGGGCAAAATTTGTGGAAGTATTGTGACATTTGAACATTGAGGAACATTGACTCAAGTTGTACAATAAAACGTGAAAGTATAAGTGGAAATTGAACCTTTTAGAGCATTGACTCAAGTTGTGAAGTGAGTTGAGAAGTAAAAGTGAAAAAGAGAAGAGAATCATTATATTATCTCCCTTGCCGGGAATTTGTTATTTTTGATGTTATCTCCCTAGCTGGGATGTTGATGCTTCTTTTGATGTTATTCCCTTACCGGGATTTGATTGTTGAACTATTGTTCCCTTGCCGGGATTCTTATTGTAATTTCATTTATTCCCTTGCCCTATTATTTGTGATTATTGTTTGGGTGAGGAAGAGTGTTAAACCACGAAGGGTGATGCCGTGTATGATTTGTGAGGAAAGAGTGTAAAGCACGAAGGGTGATGTCGTGCCGCCTGATGTACTATTCTGTGCCAATTATATTGATTATTTGGTAAGGACGAGAGTAAAAGCACGAAGTGTGATGTCGTGCACATTTTCATTACTTGATTGCTTTGGTGAGGACGAGAGTAAAAGCACGAAGGGTGGTGCCGTGCACTTATTGATTTCTGATTTTTTGTTGATATCTGAGATATGTTGCTTCTTTCAATTACCTGTTATCTTTCTATTCTAAATTGATAGTTCCCCCGCAGCATGTTACCCCTCCCATACTTGACTGTATATTACTGTTCTTCCTTTCCGCTGTATATAGTTAAATTGCACACGTTTACTTGGTAGTCTGCTCCTAGCCTCGTCACTACTTCGCTGAGGTTAGGCTAGGCACTTACCAGCACATGGGGTCGGTTGTGCTGATACTACACTCTGCATTGTGTGCAGATCCCGGAGCAGTAGCATTTGATCCGTAGATTGGGTGGCTGCCTTCAGTCCGGGCGGAGATCCAAGGTAGACCTACATGCGTCCGCAGCCCCTAGCATCTCCTTCAATCCCTTTATTCCTGTTTCATTTCCTTAGTTCAGAAAAAATGTATCTTTAATCTTTCAGACTTTGTATGTAGCATTCTTAGATCGTCTGTGAAACTGTGACACCAGTTCTGGGTGGTCGAGGTACAAACAGTTGTATTAGACACATATTCCAGATAGTTTACTGCATTTCTTCCGCTTATTGTAATTTTCGCTGTCTACACATTATTGCTTTTATAATTGTTAAAGAATATAAAACTGGTAAAAAGATAATTCGTTCAAACAGTCGGTTTGCTTAGCTCACATTAGTAAGCGCTATCACGACTCTCAAGGGTGAGAAATCCGGGTCGTGACACCCCAGTTAGGGAGGATTCATAAAAGGAGAAAGGACAAAGCACATTTCACCAAAGTTATTTTTCATACATGATCTTCAAAAGAATGATGATATCAATATGCAACAGATTCGTTCAACTGATAATATGACTGATTTTGTTTACCAAATCTCTACCGACGTCAACCTTCAAGAAGCTAGTGTACAAGATTGGGTTGCGATGGCTCAAGGATGTGAATTGATGCTCTCATCAGATGGAGTTAATACACGTTGTACTTTTTTCCTTTCAAGGTTTTGTCCCACTGGGTTTTTCTTGTAAGGTTTTTAACGAGGCAACCAAAAGGCGTATTTCTAATCATGTGTACTCTTTCCTTCTTTAGAATTTTTTTCCCGCTGAATTTTATTTTAGTTAAGGTTTTAACGAGGCACATTATCTGTTGAATAGACATTCAAGGGGGAGTGTTATAAGTAGAATTGTATTTAAGGCGAATGCCTATATTTTAGAGAGATTTTAGGGATTATTACTTAGTGGTTAAGTCACTCTTTCCCTATAAATAAAGGGGTTCTATTCCATTATAATTCATCTCAAAATCAATAAGAATTTTGTCTCTATTTTTCTCTGCTATATCATTTTCGTCTTTTATTGTTTGATTTCAAAAATAAATTTTTCCCCTTAAATTTTGTGTCAATAAAAAAACTGCTCAAATTGGTGTTGTCAAGTGTTATTCTATTTAAATAAAGTAAGTGGATGTTTGGACATAAGAATTGTAAAATTCCAAAATAAAAGTGAGATATTTTTAGGGGTGGGCATTCGGTATTTCGGTTTGGTATTTAAGAATTTCGGTTCGGTATTCGGTTTATCAATTATGTATACCAAATACTGTACCAAATTATTTCGGTGCGGTTCGGTATTTTTTATTTTGGTTCGGTACGGTTTCGGTTTAATAATCGCTTTATTAATTTGGTTCGATACTGTAGCACCAAATTGGAAACAATTAAACTTTGAGAAAGTATTTCAATGCTGACTTTTCAGATCATGAAACAAAGTAGACAGTTAATTAACAAAGTGTTCAAGCAGATAGAGGCATCCAGTAGTGTTTGTAATTTTAAGTATCCAAGAGTGCACGAGTGTGTTTTGTTTCAATGAAAACACCTTATTTAAAACAAAATAAAAACTAAGAACTAGTTTTTGCTGGTAATTGATAACTATTGGTGACAGAAGAACGTAACAATTTAAACAATTTTGCTTCTACAATTGAGATTCTGCATAAGCCCAGGTAAGGGAATAGCAGAAAACCTAAGTTAGTTGTTCCAAAATACAGAAATGCACCACACTACCGCCTCTCTTCACAAGTAAACTAGCAACCCAGTTGAGAGATTAATACAATCTAAAAATCACCATTCCTATTTATCCAAAAGAACTATCAGGATGTCAAACAAATGCAGAGTCACTAGTGAAAGAGATGGTGAAACTGAATCAGTCTGCTCCTGCATCATTTTAAAAAATTCGGTATTTCGGTATACCGAATTGTCAAGATCCTAATACCGAGGACCGTACCGAAATACTAAAATACCGAAAATTTAGTACCGAAATCGAAATACCGAATTAATTCGGTCCGGTTCGGAATTTGGTATTTCGGATTTTATGCCCACCCCTAGATATTTTTTCAAGTGAAAATGATATTTAAAAATTAGAGTTGTGTTTGGATATGAATATAATTTTGGATTTTGTGAGTGATCTGAGCGAAAATTTTGAAAAATAGTTTTTTTTGGAGTTCCTTAAATTTTTGAAATTTTTTAATATTAATATTTAAGTAAAAATTGAAAATTTTCGGGAAAAAGTAAAAAAAAGTGAAAAAAATCGTATGTGGGAAGTAGGAAAAAAAGAGGAGGGATGAATTGAGGTCAATTTGCGAATACGCCGTCTTAAAGTTCGTGGGAATCCTTTTAGAACGCTGGCGGTTAACACACGTGCTCGTGACTCGTCGATCATTCACTACTGAGTAGTGGGACTAGGGTTAGCTGCAGACATCTACTCGCATTCAATTCAACAACTAGGAAGAATACGAAGTTGTTTGGTTAAACTTTCATATATGTTGTGAATTCAAATGGCATCGGGGCTATTATCCAGGACTCTCTTTGCCCACCGCTTTCTCAAGTCTTCCACTTTCTACAAGCCTCAATTCTTTCTTTCTGCCTTCAACGTAAGTTTGCCCTAGTTGCTGTATGATTATAATTGCCTTTTCGATTTGCTTAATGGTTTTTGTTTCGTATGCCTGCATTTAGACGCCGGTCAGATTCTCTTTACTTGTCGCATGTCATATGTCTGTCTGAGCAACTTTTTGCAATTTAATAACCCAATTGCATCATATGTTATGGTTCCGATAGCTCAATTTAAGGAAAATAGCAACTGCACTTCTATTCGCCTTCCAAATTCGATATTACAATGAAACTGGAAAAAACACCACTCAATTGGTTCAACAATTACAATAGAAAAATATTATAACTGCAAAAAATTAATTGTAGTTCTCTCCTAACTTCAACTTAATCCAGCTCGGAAATTGCTCGAACAGTCTCAATCACCAAATTCACCAGCCATGGAAATACACATGTTATTCAGCTTAATGAGAATAGAAATGGAGGGGCAATATCCATAATAGAAGAATAGGAGGGAAGAAGGAGAAGAACGTGAGAGGGGAGTTCAGAGAGAGAAAGAAGAGGAAGAGAAAGAGAAAGAGAGAGAGCGCACGAGGAAAGAAGGAAAGTACCGGAATACACCTTTATCACACCGGACAATGGGTTTTATATATTGGAACAAGCAAATCTTGGCCATTGAGGGAAATTGATCGCAGCCCTCCAAAACTGTGTCGTCTCGTCCTCTTCTTTCTTCTAAAATAGCTGATTACTTTTTTGAGATGCAAAATAGCTGATTATAAGATCATAGTTTAGGCGAAATTCATATGTCTATCAGTCTATATATTTGTACTCTAACTGACTTCCAAATCTGTTGTCTTTTTCACGGCACATGAACACAGTTTTACATAATTCTCGATCAATTGTGATCTCCCTTTTTTATCTGAAAAAAGAATTACAATCTCATCAGTCAATCTGATTTTAATTGATGACTTTGCTTCCTTTCTCTGGTCTTTTACAATTTCAGAGTGTACTTTGTTAGTTAACCTTTTAATACGAGTATGAATAAGTTTTTGATCGAAGGGATTTATTTCCTTGAAGTCCATGACAAATTTGTGATTTCCCGTAAATCAAGGTAGCATTATCACCTGGCTTTGCCTGTAGATCGCCAATTTCCTGACCAGTATGTTTTTTATTTGCTTAATTTGTTAAAAGAAATGTTCCTCATTTGCTTAATCCTTGCAGAAGAAACCATTTTACTCCCAAGCTGCACCAACCTATTTCTCTTACAAGGTTGTGGGTTCTGTTACTTGTTGCGTGGCTTCATCAAGGGTAGGAACACGGTCAACATTCTCAACACTAGCTGTGTCCACCAATGAACCTGTTGTTTCAGTTGACTGGCTCCATGCAAACCTCAAAGAGCCTGATGTGAAGGTGTGTGATCGAACTCTTTATTTTTGTTCCTTCCCGTGGGAATTCAAAGTCATTTAGGACGGTGATGCTGGTCATTCTAGACATATAAGGGCAAACCATTTATCTTTTGGTTCTTTTCCAATGCTTAGATAACCTAGAGATTATTCTTGTTCTTTTTTCTTAAAGGTGTTGGATGCATCTTGGTACATGCCAGATGAGCAGAGAAACCCACTTCAAGAGTATCAGGTGCTGCCCCCTGACTAGTACTTACTTGAATGGAACTACTTTATCTTGATTCAAATGCCCGCATGCCTTTTGTTGAAAGTACTCATAGACGGAATATTCCGTCCTCTACTAGTCACCTGTGTGCTTTTTTTGTTCATCTGTGTGTGTGTGTGTTTGCGGTATTGATTTACTTACTTCTATTTGAACAGGTTGCACATATTCCAGGAGCACTCTTCTTTGATGTAGATGGCATATCTGATCGTACTTCAAATGTAAGATATTCTTCGTCCAAATTTTGTTTCTTCTTTACAAGAATATTTTGCTGCATAATGTAATCTTTTGCATTTTGGGACATCTTCTCTGGTGTCAGTATCTCTACTACTCTTCCGTCCCTATTTTCAATTCAAGTCATCTCTTCTATACCATAAGAGCTGTTTCACCGAACTATCCAACATGCATGTGAGATAGATCATGTCTTCTTTTTATTGTATACAAAGCTTCATTTCTCTTTTGATGTTATCAGTTTCCACATATGCTGCCATCCGAAGAAGCATTTGCAGCTGCTGTGTCTGCTCTTGGAATCGAGAACAAAGATGGGGTTATTGTCTATGATGGGAAGGGCATTTTCAGCGCAGCTCGTGTATGGTGGTGAGTTAACTGATTATTGCGAACAGCAGATAAGCTCCTTTTGTCCAAAATGACTCAAAAATTACAACATGTATAATCAGGATGTTTCGAGTTTTTGGACATGACAGAGTTTGGGTTCTAGATGGTGGCTTGCCAAGATGGCGTGCTTCTGGATATGATGTTGAATCCAGTGCATCTAGTGACGCAATTTTGAAAGCTAGCGCTGCCAGTGAAGCAATAGAGAAAGTATATCAAGGACAGACGGTAAGTAAAAGCTTATTTTCCGTGCTGCATTTTACTCATGTATGTTAGAACAGAAAATTGGTACAAAAAAGAATCTTTCTTTAACCCTATAGCATGGCATCTTTGAAGCAATAGGATACAATTTAGTGGTGCCAAGATCTCTCTGCAACCCGAGGACACGAGGACAGATCATGAGTTTTCTCCACACAAAAAAGTAGTTTCAGCCTTTAGAGGAGAACAAATAAAGCTGATAACTCGGAGGTAGTTATCCACTGTTTTAGTGGGATCACCTGATAAACTTTATGAAAGATATGTTACTGAATATAGATACGATTAGACAAAGGTCCCACCCAGGATAGAAGGCAGCCACTGAGTCTCTTTTAGTCCATAGGTCTAAATCTAACATCAGAGGTATGTTTATGGGTCACAGTGCCAAAAGAAGTTTCAAGGAACTAAAGGTTTAATTATGAGGCAAAGCACCAAAGGAAATAAACAATTTGATATTTTTGACAGTTTCCTCTTTCTTGAATGCTTTATTCTTTTCTGAAGAGTAAACGATTTGATGATTGAGAATTTCCTGTATCTTGACTGCTTTATTTTTTCATGAAGAGGTGGGGTGGGAGAGTGAGGGATTGAAGTGGCTTAGTCTTGGTCATGCAGCACTTGATGCCTTTTCAAATGCTTTTTTCAAGGAGGAAAAAGCATCCTTTTATTAATTTTTATTTCCACATACAGTCCAGCTTATTGGAATTTTACTTCTATTGTACATTACTTAATACCAACATAAGAACTTTTTTTTAATGAAGAATATTACCATAACAACTTTTGTTTGCAGGTTGCACCTATTACCTTTCGGACCAAGTTTCAGCCAAACCTCGTCTGGACCCTTGATCAGGTTGGTGTGGTTGGTTGTGCTTTCTGCCTACAGCTCTTGTTGGGAGCTGTGTATAGCCATACACTATTGAACTGGTGGTAATTGCATGGATATCAATATATAAGCTGTATTCTGTTCACTAGCATCCAGTCACATTTCTTCCCATCAATGTGCAATTTAAAACAGATAGATCATGCACAGAACTTACAAATCGTAATGTAGTGTGTTTCAAATTGCAAGCTAGCTGGTTCATCTTTATCTTCAATAGTTCTTTCGATGCACTTCCCATAAAACAACACGAGTATGTCTCAGTTCCAAACAAGTTGGGGTCCGCTATATAAATCTTCACTTCTCCATTTAAGTTCAACTTATGTCATCATCATATCAAATAAAAATGGAAGTGAAAAATAAGTTAAATATATATAAATAATAGTAATAATTATAATATAATAGAAGTTATCTAATAAGACTAAAATTGTAGATATCATCTATATGGATCTTCTTCTTCTATTGTATCCTATCTTTAACAACTGCATTAATTCCAAGTATTTGTGGGTCGTTGAATACGACTTCCTTCCTTGTGATTTTAGGTCTACTCCATCTCCTCTTAACACCTTCCGTGTAATGTCAGGTCATTTCGATACACTTTCCGTAGTAACTGCATATGTGGTTTTGTTGACCATAATTCTAACTCTTTTGATGTGGAGATGTAATGTTTATATTTACAGGTTAGGAAGAACATTGAAGAGACAACATATCAGCATATAGATGCTCGATCCAAAGCTAGGTACTTTACTTTGTCGGAGAACTAATCTCTTAATATCTAATGCATTAAATAGCTAAGTTTTTTTCAAATATGTTTGGATGAGATGAAACATGGGTCTTTCGTGTCATTTATGTTTTGGCTCTAAATCTTCCGTCATACTCCCTCCCAATTTGAGGAACACTTTCAATTTTTTTTAGGAGGAACACTATAATAAGAAGGTGTGGAGGTCAAGTATTAGGGTTGGAGGTTAGTAGGTAGTCGTGTGTTTTTCTGTTCCATACCGAGTTTTTTTAGGGCTAGTCTGATAGTGTCTTGCCTTAGATTGCTGGTATTACATGTTGTGTTCTTACTATCGTCTGCTTCTATTTCCTAGTATCTTGCTGTTGTTGCATCTATTTTTATGGCTCTCAGATTGCGGATATTATCTTTCTGGCCTTTGTTGTTGTTATTGCTTGTTTCTATTGTTTCTTTTCATCTTCTTGCGTCGGAGGTCTATCCGGAAACAACCTCCCTACCTCCCAAGGGTAGTGGAAAAGTCTGCGCGCTACCCTCCCCAGACCCCACCTGTGGGATTCCACTGGGTTCGTTGTTGTTGTTGTGTTAAAGGAGGAACACTATTAATTCTTGCTCTATTAACTTTATGAATAGAAGCCTAATTTACAACAGAACTTAAGACCTTAAGCTGATGCTTTCTTTCAACAGTTTGTTCATAATACAAGAAATAGTGATTCTGCACCTTGTCAAATAATGTTGAGTATAGAGGGTGTGATTACTATCTTTTGGCATGTCCAGTCATCTAAAAGTCCTTGGTGAGAGTGGGTTAAAAAGAGATTCATGGCATGTACATAGTCAAATAGTGTCAAGTAAATAGAACATGTGAGTAATACCTATTGGCATGTCTCGTCATCTATAGGCCCTTGAAGTAGTTAGTAAGGTTGAAAGAAGTACGTAACGTGTACGTGAGTCTATGTTACCTGTGTCCTCTCTTATAACATGAAACACAACATATTCTACTCACGTGACTGCCGACACTACCAATCTGAACTTTTGGGGAAGGCCTATAATGGATGTGCCATAGAGAAAGGCACAAGTGATATAGACACAATACAACAACAACAACAATGGAGAAAATGTTGTGATTATATCCTATGTTACACGGACTCTCCAAGTTACCCCATTTGAACGGTGTTAAACTCTGGTGCTGATATGGGATTCATCCTGGCACCAATGGAGAAAATAAAGACGAGAGACAGATTGGTGGAGAAGATAAAGAAGACAGAGTGCCGTACAAGAACAGTGGCCGTCTAGGATATGGGAGAAGAGACTGTCAAAATAGAGCGTACCAGCTAATTCATCTACTTTTTGAGCTCAAATGGTGTTAAGCCCGATGAGAAATAAATTTAAATTGGCTCTCTTCTTAATTAGTTTGCTTGTCTGGAGAAATAACTTTAGACCGTACTATATAAGAGAAAGGAAAGCTTAAAAAATGAATTTTTTTCCCTGCATACATTTTTGTGCTAAGTTGGATATGATGGATGTAAACTTCTTATGAAAGGATGAGATGCATACTTTCTGATTTTATTTCAAGATGCTGATATGTTTTATTAACATAGGTAACTTAAGTTTGTACGTGAACACTTGTGCTCTATTGTGAATGAACCATAGTGTTTGTTGGGTTTCTAAAATTTAATACATCTGCTGTTACAAGATGGATTCAAAATCCATTGTTATAGTCAAGTACTGTGAATTGTGGTTATTAAAACCGTTTAATGTCACCTGATAAAAGATAACTGTTTTAGTGTCTGAATTGAATTTTCTAAAATTCAGTTTACAAAAAATCGAATTGAATCTGAAGTTCTGATTTGTGCTTCCCCTTTCAGGTTTGATGGTGTTGCACCAGAGCCTCGAAAAGGAATAAGAAGTGGTCATGTACCTGGGAGCAAGTGCATTCCTTTTGCACAGGTGAAGGTCTATTAGTAAAAGAGAAGTGATTCTACTAAAAGCCATTGTCTGCAGTGGATGAATGGGAATAATAGGGCTTCGACTTTAACTGGTTAGATTATTTGTTAGAGGCATTTAAGGCCTTTTGAATTTACTAATTGTGGGAGTTGGCTTTAATCATTAGTAATCCAGCTTATCTAGGGCATGATATTGCAGTTACTCACATAGATACTGATGAAAGTTATCGCCCTTTACAATAATACCAGAGTGACCAAGTGTGTAAAATCTTTAAGGGTTTGATAGATGTTCGCTTCATGTCTTCCAATGTTATTGTGGATACATTGAGGTAAGAGAATCCTACCCTCTGCTCATGCCTTGGTAAATAATGCTTGAAAAATGAGCCATGCCTTTCTTCATCCCCCCTTAGGGTGCATCTATTGCATGTTGCACCTAGTGCCTAAGTGTGTACCGCCTTCTTACGTGGTGTTGTTTCTTTTTACCAGCAATGTAGAGTTTGTTAGGTAGTATGTAGAGTTCCACTATCTAGAAGCCCTAAATACAATCAAGGGTATTGAGGTATTCATTCTAGCACAAATTTCTGTTTCTCAATGTTGATCCCTACTGATTAATTTCTGGATTAAACTCTCTAATTATGTGAGTAGAGTTCTACTATCTGTTGAAACCCACAATACAAACAAGGGTAATAGTTCTGCCGCGAATTTCATATTTTCCTAGATTGATCCTTGCTGACTCACTCCTAGATTAAGCTCTGTAATCATCTATGCCTATTTTATTATGGTGATTGCATGCAGATGCTGGATGGCTCTCATACACTATTATCTACTGAAGAGCTCAAGAAAAAGTTTGATCAGGAAGGTAAGAACAGCTTCCCTTTGATTGATAGATTTCCGTAGGGAGAAAATGTTAATGCATTTGCATATGTACGAAATTGGATTTAATACAATCTCGAGTTTCAATGTAATGGTAAATCTGAAAAACCTTCCCCTTTTGAAATAAGGAGTTAATCATATTTCATTCAATCACGTAATTTAGTCATTTTGCATCTGGTATACTTGAAGCATGCTGTGAATTATCTTGACTTTTCAGTTGCTTATATAAGATAATCTATTCTTCTCTAGGTATCTCTTTGGACAAGCCTGTAATAACTTCTTGTGGTACTGGGGTGACGGCTTGCATACTTGCCTTGGTTAGTCGAGCTCTCCATTTCTCCCTTTAAGATGATCTCCTTGTAAAATCTGTGTGGTACCCCATTTTGATTTTTTGTTGGCACAAGGAGATCTTGAAAGTTTGTTCATCCTTGTAGGGGCTCCATCGACTTGGAAAGACTGATGTTCCCGTGTATGATGGTTCGTGGACGGAATGGGGGGCACATCCAGATGCACCAGTCTCCACATCTGAAGCATAGATGCAAGCATGCTATTAATGAGTGTATCTACATGTGACATTACAAGGTTTGCCTTGTCCGTTTCTTATTGGTGAATATGACAGCAGCAGTTGTATCTTCGAATAATGAAATATAGATCCCGGTCACTTTTTAGCTTTTTTGGAACCCTTCTCTCTTTCTGGGAGTTAATTGAGCACATAAATAGGTCAGCGGTCTCTCGTGGTGGTTGGGTGGGGTGGGGTGGGGATGCATTTTAATCCCGTTCTGTCATGACTTGTTTTTATTGCTTATATGCGACGATATCGTGGTAGATGTGGATGTTTGCAGTGTGAATGTACTAGGCAGGGGAGACCAAACATATTGTCGCAAAAAGAAAAGACAATAGTACTGCTTCTTGTATTAAAATTCTAAAGCTCACTAAAAATGTTGTTTAAAGGTAGTTATTGATCCCATCCAGAAGGTGGAAGGGGTATCATTTCCAAATTATTAAAGGTTAAGGGGGTTAATTTGAACTTATTCTAACTATTTGATGACGATTTCAATTTTTCTATTCTATAATGAGCAACAAGCATAGTGCAATTTATGCACCAGTTTGAAAGCCTTTAGCTTATTCGTTAACAAAGTTGACGAAGAATGGATTTGAGTAATTTTCACATTGCAACGAGTTGTCTTTCTTTCGAAAATTTTTGTATCCCACAACTCATTTGTAAGACTGATATGCAAAGTTAGTCTTCTACTCGAATTAAGGTATTAAGCACATTCAAGTTGATAAATAAAGAATGTTGAGATTTTGAAGCGAGGCGTTTGCATGATTGTGTGTTGGACTCAAAAAGTATTTGTCCTATAGTTGCTGCACGTGCAATGCGATAGTAACAAAAGTAGGTACGTTTATAAAAGTGCGAAATGGTATATTTCGATTCGATAACTATATTCCAGAGTGTTTTAATTGGGAAAATCCATGGGTTGCGACTAGTGAGCGTTGGTCATAACGTTTCATGCAGAGAGATGCTTTCTTTCAAAACCAATAGTTGCCACCGATTCGTTAACTGCTACCAACCCTTGGATACGTCTATATATATAATACTCCTCTGTGACGTCTAGTGTCATATGTACATAGCACTTGAGATTGTAGACTAACTACTACCGAATCAACCGTCACCCTCAACAAAAGAACATATACATACTAGCTAGGAGAGAAAACAGAATGGCCGCCGCTGATGGAAATGATCTATCCGAACCTGATCATATATTAAAGGATGACATTACTAATGTGGATGATTCAAAGGCCAATATTCACCAAGAAATAAGTGGAGAATCTGATCAGGTACAAAGCAATGAACCATCAGAAGTTCGGAATGAGGAGGACAAGAATACGCCATGTGATGATATGCGCCATGGAAAAGGAGATAAGTTTATGGCTGATGACGATCACGTGAAGGAGATGAATGAGAAGGAAGAAGTAGAAGAGCTTATATCAAAACTTGAAAGAGGGGGTCATATTCATGATGAATTACCTTCTATTGATACTACTACTACTACTTCCAGATCAGGAAAAGAAGCCAAGAATGGTGGAAGGCCGCCACTACTCAACTTTGGAGAGAAATGCGGCAAAAGGGGTCGCTCCACCTTATTATTGTTTTATCGTCTCTGGAGAACTCACCTTGTTAAGAATCTTACTCCTAGTAGTTAGAATTTTCTTTGCTTATTTTTGTAACCCCTTATGTAAAACTATATATCCTAAAACTACATAGTTATTCCCCACCCCTATAATTCCCGCTCCCGTGTGTTAAAAAGTACATTTGTGATAATTAATGAAATTAATGTCTAGTGTTTTGTTCTGTTTCCGAGTATTTATCTTAAAGAGCATGAGTATCATAAGTGATCGCGTGGCCTAATGGATAAGGCGCTCGCCTCCGGAGCGGGAGATTGTGGGTTCGAGTCCCATCGCGATCGCTGCCTCATACATTTTGTTTATCGCATTTTTAAGTGGACTCTGAACACAAGCTTAATCAATATTTATGCAGTAGAAGCAACTAAAAATGAATTCCTTATGCGCTTTTATTTGTATCATTTATCGCATTTTCGCAGCGCATATTATCATTAACATAGTGGTAATATTACAATCTCTTTTAAGTTATTGCGAATTAACTGCATTAAACTGATTGCTATCATTGCAAATTTCTTGTTTCTCATACCAGTGGGAAAAACAACGACTTTGTTTCTATTTAGAAACTTGGATATATCATAAAAACAAAGAAAACAAATTCAAGCCAAAAGGATCATATTTACTGGTGAGTCTTTAGCAAGCACTATTTACATAAGTTATAGGACCGTTATGTTTTACTGGCTAACCAAAAATGTAAATGTACATGCCAGTAAGTTGCACAAAGTGAAGCGCATTGTCCATGTTTTCTGTAGTAGTGGAAAACAAAAGGATGTCAATAATGGCATGTGCTAAAGTAATTAGTAGAAAAAAAAGGTAGTAGGTTGTATTTGCAATACCTATAGCACATAAGCTGGCGGGTTTGAAACACGTATGTACATAGCTCCAAAAGATGTCTATATGCGCAGATTGCAAAGAAAAGGGTAAATGTAAGAGCGAAAGAGAAATATTTAAGTATTGGAATCTCATACTAGAGAATGTTTTTACTGAAGTATACCAGTATTTTATATTGAAAAGCATATTGTGTAATAGGAGAAAATTCAGAACCTAATTGCGACATATAGATTTTTTAGAATGGCATTATAAGCAACTGCTTGTTAGGTATAAAGAATGTAGCAGCAATTACTCTATATTAACTGACGGGCTTAGCGAAGTCTTTTTCACGCATAATCAGTGGAATATTACTGGAACTTGCTGAAATATGGTGTGCTCTAAATTTATCCAGAAGAGGGCCTTCATTGAAAGAATCTTATAGGAAAAATAATACTTTACAGGCAGGTAAGCGAAATTTGGTAAGCTTATTTACTATTTTTTTGGACATATGAATTGGATCATATGTGTTGAGTGTACAACCAAGTACTATCATTAAAATATATACACAACTTATGAGAGCTCTAATAACAAAATGAAATACTAGAGATTCATAAAAAGTAATATTATTCCGACGAATTCTAATAGGAGAAAAAAAGAACTATGCACCTTGTTGTCAGTGAGAAGACAATAAAAGGATTGAGCTAATTGGACAACCATTTTCTGATTCTAAAGACAACACAAAAGTCACATATCACAAAAAAAAAATAGAAGAATATGTCTGTCACGCCCCGAACCTGGGCCTGGACGTAACACGACACTCGGTGCCTGACTACATGTGACCGAGCGAACCAACTGACTGGCTGAATCAACATGTGATATCATAACATACTAAATGCGGAAGATAAACTAACACATGCTGATATACTGAAAGTCTGAATGATAAAAATCAAAGTGCGAAAATACTAATACAATTTTGAAACATATTTGTAGTCAACATAGCTTAATATGAAAAGTCTGCGACTCTGTCTAGCTGTTACTCTAGTCAATGAAGCCTCTAATGAAGTACTGAAAATACTAACTATCTCTAAATGCTGAAAGACTATAAAGTAATGATAATGCCCCGAAAGAACTGGGGATCACCAAATAGCTGGTACGAGAATTCTAGCGCTCTGAATCATCAACCAGTAAATTATTGCCTGCATTGTGAGATGCAGGCCCCCGGGCAAAAGGGACGTCAGTACATTTGAATTGCACTGGTATGTAAAGCAACTGAAAGAAAGAATTATAAATGCTGAAACTGAAACTAAGCTGATAACTGAGAATTGATAACTATTGAAACTGAAACTGAAATGATAACTAATAATTGAACTGAACAAAGGAAGTAAAGATATAAATACTCCCTCTTCTAAATGATGAACAACCTGTTTATCTGAATATTAAATTGCGGCCTC